CAGTCTGCATTGGAAGATGAAAATATGTTTGCTGTTACTGTAAGTCCTATATTCTTTCTTTCACTAGTGCTTAAAATGTAAAGAAAATGTTTTTTTCAGTGATCATGTTCTATTTTTAGCTTTCCATGTAAAGTCTCATCATTTAGAGTTTTAAAAATAAGATACAGTCCCATAAAAAAATAAATATTAACTTATAGAATAAGAGGTACTAAGTCTTTTATCCTTCTTTCTGTTCACTAATAATTTTTTTAATACATCTTGTAAGACCTTTTCCTCTGTATTAGAGGGGTGTATGTGTATATGGGCAAATAGTTTGTCTTTCTAATATACAGCTTGATTGTACTGTTTGGGGTGGGTTTTTTTAATGTTCCTTCGTATTTCCCAGAAGGATCTTTTTGGTGGTTTTCATGTGAATTCATATATATTTACCTTGTTTTTTTCGTAGTACACTAAAGTTTAACTTTTAAGATGTTTAACTTTTTAAGATGCTGGATATATCTAGGTTTCTTTGTATATTTTTACTGTAGCAATCCATGCTGCAATAAACTTCTTTATGCTTTTTTTTTTTTGCTTTAAATGCTACCTTGTGTTTGGATAAAGTTTATACAGCTAATTGGATTCCCATTTAACAGTCACTAGATTGTAACATTCAATTTTTTTTCTAGTTTCTGAATTTGATAAAAATAATTTCCTATTTAATGTTTACATTTGCTGTTTAACTATATGGCTAAATGGCTTTTTATAACCCTAGGTATTGAATATCGTCAGATGTTCATTTTTTTATTAATTATTGCAGTTATTACTGTAATTTATTACTAATTTCAAGCCTTATAATGACTCACAGTACTTGATTTCCTAATGCTGAATTTCTATGATTCTGAACATATGCTGCTGTCAGTCTCTTATGATGCAGCCAATATGACTTCAATTTAAAGTTGTTAAGTACAACTGTAATGTACAACTTCTTTTCCTGGAAGGTTCTGAGAAGAAGTCCTTGTTTTTAAACTTCCACTCCAGGATTGCCTTCTCGTGGGTTAATACCACTTGTCTTCCATTTGAAGCCAGGCGCTGATGCAAGATGGTGGCTAACCAGGAGAGAAGGATGTGTCCTTCAGCATCAGTGCACAATTTTTGTGTCTTGGCCCAAGGGCCCAAAACTCTTTTTCTGGCGATGGCGTCAGGGTGTGGGCTGGCTAGTGCGCCCAGGGTACCTGGGATAGAGTGTGGAGATCAGGAAAGTTCCGCGCCTCTCTCCTTCCCGAATCCCAAAAACTTTTTCTGGCAATGGCGTTGGGGTGCTGGCTGGCTAGTGCACCTTTGGGTACTTTGGGCATGTTGCAAGGAGGGACTGGTCCTTGGAGAGGAACATCATGTTTGGCAGAGTGGAGGGGCGGCAAAGGAGAGGAAGACCCTCAATGAGATGGTTCGATTCTGTAAGTGGAGTGGTGGGAATGAGTGTGCTTGAGATGCCTAGGTTGGCACAGAATAGAATGGCGTTTAGGGCTCTTGTACATAGGGTCGCTATGAGTCGCAAGTGACACAATGGCACATAACAACAACAATGCTGATTTATCTTTCAACAGGATAAATTCTCAGTCATGACGCATTCCTATGTAACTACTAATTTTCTTTAACTTATATATTATTTTTTAACTTTACCAGATATGTAAGATTTTGTCTTTACCAAACATGTGCAATTGTGTGTGTCTCTGTTTTCCTCATCCAGTTTTTGTTGTCTAGGACCATTCTAGCTCTTCAGAACTCGTTCAGAATTGTCATTCTGTCTTTTGTGCTTTAATTGAGGAAGATTAAAATTAGCCTTAAAAGGCCAAGTAAAATATCCCATAAAGCCATTAAGACCAGATACCTTTTGAGAGTTTAAGTACATTTTTTTTTCTCTTTAAAAGCATTACATGGACAATTGGGGCCATAATCTTGAGAGAGTTCATGGTCCATCTGACATAACATAGTTCACAAAATTAAAAAATAATCTTAACATCCTACTTTGATGAATAGCAACCAGGGTCTTAAAAACTTGCAAGCAACATCTGAGGTACAACTATTGGTTTCTCTGTGTGGAACAAATAAAGAAGTTAGAGAATCAAAGATGTAGATAGGGAAGTTGCCCATGGATCATTCGGCCCCTACAGACCTCAATATCCACAGCCTTGAGACCAGAAGAACTAGATGGTGCCCAGTTATCACTGCTACCACTCTAAAAGGGATAAAAGTAGAAATCTTGACTAGAGTGGGCAAAATGTGAAGCAGAACTTAGAAACATAAAAAGAGCCACTTGTCCAGTGACAGCTGATGGAACCTCTCTGAATGATCAGCTCTTACTTATCAAACCTTGAACAGAATCACCCCTCTGACTCGACTTTTCAGCCAAAAGATACAGGCTCAAGTTGGAACTGACCTCTAGCTGGCCCAGCAGGTTTTCAGAGGTAGTAAATTGCACAGGACAAGGTTGCCCATCTTTTTCCCACAAAACAGCTGGTGAGTTTGAACCTCACGCCATTGGGTTGTCAGGGAACCCCTTGCCACTAAGCCACTAGAGCGCCCTTTCAACCAAATGATAGAAACTTTCAACTTTCAGCCAAATAGTAGACACATAATAACTTAGGTGAAGGGAAAGACAATATACAATAAGAAGGACAGCACGAAATTATCAAGGCCGTAGAAGATAATTGAAAGAACACAAGAGTTAAAGGTGGAAAAACAGGTCTACATTACCTGTTCATCTGTGCAATGAATGTAGTAGAGCATAAAGAGGGTAAAGTCACAAAATTTCTTAGCCATAACCATACGCCTTCAGAAAATGAGTCGCTGGACCTGAGAATCAGGACTATGGTCTTGGAAGACAAGGTCAGTTGGAACAGTTTATCTACCTTGATGAGTATCAATAAAGGTCTTAAAAGCTTTTAAGTAACCATCTAGGGGAGCTCTGGTGGCCTAGTGGCAAGGAGCTGCAACTACAATCCCAGAGGCAAACGGTTCGAATCCACCAGATGCTCTGCCGGGGAAGGAGGGACAATCTCCTCCTGTACCAGTCAGATCTGATGTGACGGTACACGCACACAAAAGTAATAAAATTAAAAAAAAAAAAAGTAACCATCTAAGATGCAGTCACTGGTCTGTTTCCATCCAGAGCGAAGAGTGAAAAAAAAGCAAAGAGATACAATCAGAAGGCTAATGAATGGTGGACCCCTTGAACCTTAGCTACTTTGACAGAGACCAGAAGATGGTGGGGCCTGGCTACCACTGCTGACCACTCTGGAATGGATGGTGATAAAAAGGCCTGAATAGAGTGAGAGAAAAATGTGAAACAACTGGAAAGGAAAAAAAAAGCCAGGCTTTCCAGTTGATAGAGACTGGGAGAATCCAAGACTATGGCCCATAGCATTCTTCAAGCCTAGACTTTAACTTGCCCCCATGCCTCACTTTTCAGCCAAACAATAGTAGTATAATATGAACAGTAACACCATTTGAATAATCAAGCTGAAAGAGCAAAAGAGCAGTATTTATTTAGGAACTACAAAGACTAATGGAAATGAGACTTTTGATGTTATATTGTAAATATTGTGATAAAATAGGTATAAATTTTTTAGTGGAAAACCAAGTAGCTTTATAAACTTTAATCACAATATAAGGAGGACAAGTATTTCATACTTAAATTAACTATATAAAATAAACAACTAAATCCACTGTCTTCTAGTTCTAATTCATGATAACCCTCCGTCAGGTGTCATTTAGAGGAATTCTTCCTCATTCCAGGTTTCACTTGCGCATATGAAGCAATAGGAAAATACAGTTACTTGGACCTAGTGCACCTTAGTCTTCAATGTAACATCTTTGTTTTTACACCTTAATACCCGTCTTATGCTTACAAAAAGAAAACAGATTGATTTTTAAATAAGTGGTTGAGTTCCACTGTACATATTTATTAATCTACTTTTTCACCTGTTACTGTTTTTCCCTTTCTTTATTTCAAAGTTTACAGAGCAAAAGGTTTTATGTTGTACATTTTGTTTCATGAAATTGATTACAGTATCCGCAAGCATAATAGCTCTTTTCTCACTTCCTCTCGGATTACTATTAATTTCTTTTTCTCTTTCTTTCTTTCTTATCCCTTCCTACTTTTATACTTTATTTCTGGCCAGATGCTACATTTTTGCCTCTGTAAACCCACTTGAGAGCCAATTGTGAGTTGGTTCTGACTCAGTGGGAAACAACAGTTGTTCTAAGGGTTATATATTCCCTAATGGGGTTATTTACCTTTCGGGCATTCCTATCAGTTGGTTGAAAGTTAAACCATAGTGATATGTTCAGTTCCAGTCCTGAAGACTGTGCCTAAAGTCCTGGACATTCTTTCAGTCCTTATCAGACCGGGAAACCTTGGTCTTTTTGTGATTTTGAGGGTTTTTTTCCCATATTATACTCTGTTTAGGACCTCCTTTTGTAATCTTTTACAGAGTGCTCAACATTGGTAGTGTGGCACCATCTTGTTATGATCTCCGTGTGGAGGTTTGCATTTATAGAGTCCAATCATTGCAAAGAGAGAAGAGGAAGAAAAGACCAAAATGGATGTCAGAAGAGACTCTGAAAATTGCACTGGAGCGCAGAGAGGCCAAAGCACAGGGAAGAATTCAAGAT